AAAATCAAAATTGAAATGGAATGTCGTCTTTATTGTATTGATATATACCATGATGACTGTAGATATTAGAAATGTATTTATTGTATTGATATATACGACGATGACTGTAGATATTAGAAATGTATTTATTGTAAAAATAAAAAAGCGTATTTTTAAACAAACACTGTAACAACGGGATTTGCAAAGCCAACAGTGACTGCTTGCTTGTTTAACGAGTAAATCATTTAAGTGCTTGACATTTGTTCGGTGGATTTGCTTTAAATTAAATACAATGTTTATTTCTTTCAGATGCAACCATTGTTTCTTCGTAAATTTAATATTTCAAAAAGAACATTTTCAGATTTAAGAAAAATCCAATTTCTTCAGAATTATTGAAATTGTATTTTTAAAGAAAAATAAATCAAATAAACCCTCTGAATAATAATTAAAATAGTAAAATTAAGATATGCTAACTGGAGAGGATACTCGACAAACTGTACAGATGGTACAGCATCTGGCCTGTACATGTGGCTGTACAATACAGCCATCTGACTGTACACAACTTCAGGTAAACTGTACAGCACCTTAATCTGATCAATAACCTGGAAAATACTGTGATTTTCTAGGTTTAAAAGTTTTCACTTCTGATAATTCCTATATGCTTGACTGCAGTAGTAATGCACAATCACTTTTAAAGAGAACAATTGAAAAAATTAAGTATTCAAGATTATAAACAGTAAAAGTCTAAATAACCCGGAATAATGTTGATTGATTGATACTTTAAAGTCGTCATTGACCTTAGAAATAGTTTGCGCATTCAGCATTGGTAACCTGATTTTAGCCCTAATCCTGCCATTTCCAAATGCGGTCTGCCATTTTTTTGCTCGCATAAATTCCAGAGACATAAGAATTTTGATTAAATTTCAATTATTTAAATAAAACCATGTTAATATCTCATTCTGAACAAAATCATTTATATCTCCGGTAATTGTAAAAGCACTAAAATGGCAGACCACATTTTGGAAATAGCAGAACTAGAGTTTTTCGGTGAAAATTAAAAATATATTGCTAAAAGCCAGTTACCAATGTTGAATTCAACAAACTATTTCTAAGGTTAAAGACGATTTTAAAGTATCAATTCCGGCTTATTTAGACTATTACTGTATATAATTCAAACTTGACCAGACAAAGCTGTGTTATTGCATAATCCAGTTCATTTTAAGTACCTTGCCGACTTCCAAGGAGTTGGAGCAAGCGTACATGCTGTACAATCTGTACAAGATGTACAAGCTGTACATGCTGTACACGCTGTACAAGCTGTACAAGCTGTTCTATCTGTTCAAGCTGTACAAGCTGTACAAGCTGTACAAGCTGTTCACAAGCTGTACAAGCTGTACAAGCTGTACAAGCTGTACAAGCTGTACAAGCTGTACACGCTGTACTAGCTGTACAAGCTGTACAAGCTGTACTAGCTGTACAAGCTGTACTAGCTGTACTAGCTGTACTAGCTGTACTAGCTGTACAAGCTGTACAAGCTGTAAAAGCTGTAAAAGATTTACTAGCTGTACAAGCTGTACAAGCTGTACTAGCTGTACAAGCTGTACAAGCTGTACAAGCTGTACATTGTGAATCGGGCAATTGCATGCCATCTTCGCATGGAGGGTCACTTGAAGTTACGCTCCTTGTTTTAGGATTATGTCGCAGAAGATTGTAAGTGTACATGTAAACGCAGAGAAGTATGTTCACCTGATAAAATCTGGGATTCCAGTAAATGTAAGTGTACATGCATACAGCAGGAAGGAGAATGTACTACTGGGTTGTTTTACAGTACATCATCATGCAGGTATAAATTGCTAACAATATCTGGAAAAAAGGGAACCATTAAACTTTCGTTGAACTTTTAGGCTTCAATAGACATTACAGGGATCATATAATAGGAAAATATCAAAAGATCAAATATCAAATGATCAAAACTCTTGAAATGATCAAAGAAGTGTACGCTGAACAGTAGGGGCAGCTACTTACTTTTTTAAAAATATTATAGAAATAGAAATGATATAGAAATGATTTTAGGGTATGCATAAATATTTCTTCTTATTCTTCTCTTTCTTCTCTTTCTTCTCTTTCTACTCTTTTCTCTCTTTCTTCTCTTTCTTCTCTTTTCCCTATTTCTTCTCTTTCTTCTCTTTCTTCTCTTCCTTCTCTTGATAGTTTGTTGTGGAAATTTAACCGGTTTTGAGATAAACAATGCAGTAC